CTCTGATTTCCAGATATGAGTCAGCTTTCAAAATCATTAATGCTTTGTCTAACAACTACAGTTTATGGAGCATTAGAAATACCAAATATAGCTCTTAAAGTTCATGCAAGTCACAGCATGACTATGTAAATAGGGAAGCCAGAAACCTACAATGCTCCCACCCTCTTCATTTCAGGGATCATTATTCTGCCTCTTATTGGGCACTTATTTATATTTACCACATCATTACTGTGATAATTTTCTAAAACACTCAGTGATTCTGCTGCTTTACCTTCCTTGCTCGAATCAATACATTCAGTCTTCAGTCATAACCTCATGATTATTAGCCCAGCTGGTCAGCATTTACATACATTCAGTGACACCCAGTCTACCTCCTGCTCACCTTTTGGTTTATGTCACGTTGTTAACAGGACTTTATACACTGCTTATTTTTGTTGACACACTTAAAATCTGTTACACACCACACCAGGGCCCATTAAATAACTCTTCGTCAGACTTGTTGGTATGGCTCTCATATGCGTAGAATCATAGAATGGTTTGGGTTGGAAGGGACCTTAAATATTACCTAGTTCCAACCCCCTTGCCGTGAGCAGGGACACCTTCCACTAGATCAGGCTGTGCGTCCAACCTAGCCTTCAACACTTCCAGGGAGGGGGCATCCACAACTATTCTGCTAAGAAGACATCACTCAATTATTTGCACTGTTCTTCAGCTCATATATACACTGGGTTTCTTATTTTATGCTACAAGCTCTTCAGATGCTATCTTATCTTTCACAAACATGATTGTGGTTTTGTCCAATTAACTCATTTTGTATGTATTAGATAACTAATAATGTAGGTTTCCTCAGGAAAATCAACACATGAAAATGGTGTCAATTTTGAGATAACAGGAGAAAGCAAGCCTTCTTAAGCCAGAAAATTAATATAAGAAACTCCATTTAAAATAAATCCAGACATACTAAAAAGATACCATAACTTTGCCTTGTCAGAGCACCTTACGGGGAAAAAAAGATTTTAAAGAATATTTTTAACAAACTGGACCAGCAAATATTATTGTATATAAGCACAATAGCATTATACTACACATTTCATGTTTGTGTTTTGAGTGTGAGCTTCCTCAAGTTTGTATGTTTCAATTTCTTTTAACTCTGAATTCCTGAGTATGCACAATAGTAATGCTTATACTTTCAAACTACTCGGCCTTCGCTTCAGATCAAATGTGCTGAGCTACAATTTTGTATTAAACAAAAAAAAGAAAGGATATATTATTCATTAGTACCTCATGCAATAGTTGCTATCATTAGTCTAGGACCCCGTTTTTTATAACTGATATTTTAATCCTCTTAGCTAATTAACCAATTAAATTACTATTCTACCTAAATTCAGAGAGCAGAGGAATAAAATAAGATAGTGAATACTACTAGTATGTTTACATTTTGGTAAGCTCTTGTTCACTGTAAAGCAACATAATATGAAATTTCCAGTAGAATATATTCTGAAGCAAAAAAGACAGAAAGAAACTCTGTAACTCACCTCATATTCCCTGCCATGATGAGGAAAAGATTATAAATGTGAGAAAAAATGAAGAGGAAGAGGATGGTACTGAAGAACATTGTCATCCAAGATCCGTGGTCCTCTCGAAACATTTTCAGACGGAGCAACTGACCTGTGGTATGAGTATTATCAGAAAGCATGTTTTAGTCAGTCTGTAAATACACGTTTACATGACTAAAAGAAAACTAAAAAAAACCCAGAGTACTAAACCGTATTTCTTCCTATAACAAAATATTCCACTGTGTGTGAGGAGGGCAGATTTAGTATCATGCAGCCAAAGTACCCTCTGTAGTTCACCATGAACAGATATTCCTACAAAATTACAAGATTGCTTCCCACAAACTGATGAAAAACTGGTTTGAGCTCTTAGAATTAGAATCAGTGAGGTAGAGGCCTGAAGGAGTCCACATCACATCTCTGGTACCTGATCAAAATGTGGCTGTGGTTTTACATAGGTTACATGTGACTGTACATGCTTGTTAAGCAGCTTTCGGTGTGTCCCTGTTTCAGCTACTAATATCTCTACCCAAGCTGCTGTCATGCTGGCACAGCAAGCTGAGCAGTCATTCACAAGTGAACAAGGGCGGGGAACTGACCATTCTAGAAAAACAGAAAATACACCTTTTTTTGTTTTTTTCTTTCATTGGAATCAGTTCCATCAACCCGCTGACCTTGAAGCTCAATGAACAGTAGTGCTTGGGAAGGATTCATGGACTGGAAGGGCAATTGCCTAAACGTCCCTGTTTTATAGAGCCTAATACTCCAAAACAAATGCCACAGCAGGGAAAATCTCATGGAATTAGTCTAGACTTCACAGCAAGAGCCACTTCTTGGTGGTATTTGAGCAATGTTTTGAGAAATAAGTCTATTTATAAATTCTGAAGTGTCATAAGTACCTCAGGATGTGTACCTCAGTCTCATTCAGCCCTCTCCTTTCCTAAAACAAATAGCCTCTATATTTGCTTCTGCAAGAATACCCTATCACCTTTTTGTCTTTCATCTCTAAACTCTTCAGACACACTGTTTATTCACTGTCTGGAGGTTTGTTTCTCCTGCACCTCTACAAGACTGGTACAGCCCCTCGAGCGGTTCTTACCAGAATTTCTAACGACGGCTTTGTTATTAAAGCTCAGCCTTACTAATTCTTCCCAATCTGGGTGAGTGTCATGCACCTCAATGCAATTGTTCATACTCTTCTTGACATCTTGACCTCCTTTTGTGTTCACATCTCTGTCCTCTACCAGCTCTCCTTTGTCTACTGATTTTAGCAGACAGTTTGGGTAGCTCATCATCCCTCATACTTGCACTCCCCTATGAATAACAGTATCATTGTTTTATCGTGGGTTACCATAGCTAATCTTTTTTTCCAGACAGAATTTTTCTTTTCTAAAACCAGGTGAATTTTTTAATGTGTTCTTCAATTGTTTGGGGTATGGAAAGCCTCACCGGTGCAAGAGATGGGAATTTGCTTTTGCAGGGCAGAGAGTGCCACAGCAGAAGCCTGGCAGGGTAAGGAAAGCAACTGATAGATAATTCAGGCAGTAAGGTGAAGGACAGCATCTAATGAGGAGATAGTGTAGTCAGGTACTAGAAGATGTCACAACAGGAAAAACAGAAGGAAGATGAGAAGCTGGACAGGAAGTACCAAGAGAGGTGATATAGCAGACTGAGAAGTGGAATGATCTGGGATGGAGGCAGTCTCTGAGAGCTGCTGTCGTACTACAAAATCTAGGGTAGAAACCTTGAGGGAACTGAGGTGCTAAACTGCCAGTATGGGTTGGTGAGGAGAAGGTTACAGTGACATTGGAAAGGGTTGGGAAATGTGACATCTTCATTAGGAAAACAGAGCTCTTGAATGGACCAGCATGGACTTGAGGGCATGAAGTCTTTGGTAATTGCAGGATGAAGAAATGGGCACTCGGCTGGAAGAAGGGAAACAGACCCTCTGATGCTCTGGTGAGGAGATGGGATTAGGCTGGGAGCAACAAAATACTCAGGAGAGTGGCTGGGGGAGCGGGGAACCTGTGGGATAAAAAGTCTAGTTTCAGCATGGATTATGGCTGGACAGATGCTGAAGTTACAACGTGGGGGAAATTAGTAAGAAATAGAAGGTGTTCATTCAGGGAATGAAACAGGAAGATCCCAGGAATGCTGTGTGCTGCTGAAGACTGAAGATGCACGATTGGGGCAGGAAGACTGGAGGACCTGGAGCAGACCTGGGCTAGGGGCTGAAGTGGCAGGTAGGATTTGAGCTCTGGAGTAAGCAAAGTCGGAAGATGGGAGTCACCTGACAGGGCTGGGATTTTGCAAGGATGTGGGAGGAACTGTGGGGCAGCAGAAGTGATAGGTAGGTAGGTGGGGTGAAGCAAGCTCTGTGATGGGGTGAGAGCATAGGTCCATGGTCCAGTCCAGTACTAGGGCAGCAGTAACAAGGATTCTGGCCACGAAGAAAGGGGAAGAAAGCGATGGTGCAAACACACACCTACATGCCCATGCCCCTGTATTCCTCTCTTTCACTGCTGGAAACAATGACAGCCCCAGGCCTGTCTAGACTGGGATGTGCAGTAAGTCTGTCTGTCCTTCCCTAAAAAGCAAGCAGAGGCTGCTATGGCAGTAGCAATTCATCCTGACTTACTGAGAGGAGGGGCTTACTGATAAAAGATATCTCCCTTGCAGTTTGACACCTGCTCTCTGAAAAGCTGCCATTGCATATGGAACATTACTGAAACCTTGGACTAGAAACAGTACTCGCAAAATAGTCGTGATTTTAGAAGGTCCAGAGTAATGGAGAGGAAAAGCACTGCTGGGAATCTAGACTTCTGTAAAATAAGTAATTCCAGCCTTTCTAAAACAGGTAAGAGAAAGATTTATTAAGAATTAATACCTGTATTTTCCAAAGTAATATGATTTTCCCTAAAATATATTTAGCTATTACACACCAATTAATACGTACACATACATATAAATTTCATAACTTTTTAAAGTACTTTTTCACAAATATTGTCTTTGGTAGGAATATTCTTACACTTTAACTACCCTACTATAGCTTATGTTTGCTATGTAGGACTTCATTAACTCTCAAGTAAGTATGTGAACATCGTTTTTTAATGAAAAAAAGAGTAGCTTAATCACAATACAGATTGAGTCATTAAGAAGAAAGGAATTGGATATTAGCACAATCTACTTAGCTAGCTGCATACAAATACTGCTGTATGTTACTTATTGCATAATACGCTAAATGCAGTTGAACCAAAATACGTGAAATGCTCCACTTAATATTCACATTGCATACCAGTTCAGTTGAACATAAAAAGGAAATATATGAGATTATTTACCTCACAGATAAGATGTTAAAGTAACAATTGCAAATAACACTTGATATTTTTATAACAAAACCTAGGACTCTGTAAAATGCTTTATTAATTTGTTAACTCGAACTAAAAGCATACGCTTTGAGAGCACGTGTAACAGAAAAATATTGGTGTATAGAATAGTCAGAAATGCAGAAAACCTATTTGGTAACTGGATTAGATTTGTACTAGGTTCAAATACAGCTGCAAACAAGAAAATAAAATTCTCAGAGTAATCCCAACAAAGAGAATAGTTCATGTAAAATCAGGACTTCTATAAAGAAAAACAAGCAAAAGGAGCAGGGGACAAAAGAGTAGATAAGGAATAAGATTACATAAAATAAACTGTTAACTCAGTTTAATTTTTTTTTTTTTTAATTCCTAACAAATTAATCACTTTTTATGAATTTGTTAAAAATGTCCAAAAAACCCCACAGGTATTACAGGGAAGAATATGGTTCCTAGGATATATTTACACATACAAAATCAGATACTTTCTAAAAAAACAAACATGCTAAACCTAATAGAACTTTGCAAATACAAGTCAAATGTCATATGCATATGATCTTTGCAGCGATGTATATGATATATGCAGTGATAAACTGTGAGCTACAATTACCTATATACACAAATCAAGAATCTTTGCAATGACACAACGTTTCTTAGCTCCAAAAGAAGTTTCCTTAATAAGTAATTCTTTACCGAAACAAGATATTCTATCTACTCCAAGTCTTTGGAGGCCACATCACAGGTACAAGTGGGACACGTGGAACTAGAGGCTTCAGCATTCAGGGCCTTGCAACAAATCAGGCAGTAAATCAGCTCATCAGCTGAAACCCTCTTACTTTCTATAATAGCGTGCAGATGCTGCTGGGGACAAAGAGAGAGGAGCTTGTAGATACTCATTTTTAGTCACATATCTAAGTTGTATTTCTTTCAGATCCAGGAGAAGAAACAACTCAATAAGCAGGTACAAAAACTGAGTCAATCAAACAGGTCACTTTTTTTTAAACTGAAACTTTTGTAGCATACACAGTCCATAAGATGGTTGGATTCATTAGACTGCTTCTTAATGGAGAAACATGAAATTCTTACCCATGAATTTAGCACAGTTTCTTGTCTTAATTATGGGTGATGGAGCCCATAAACTTCAATCTTTCCTGGGCATATGTGTAGTATTCTAATACAAGCCCTTCATCACACCAGAGGTATTCCTTTAGTTTTGGATGCCCCATCATGTGATTGCTACTTCTGTCCATTTAATGTTCATGGCCATCTCCATCAATGGCTCAAACTGTTCAGCTGAAAAATTAATCTCAATAAATTGGAAGTATTGTTTAGCCTTGAAAGCCCAATCCTCATTTCACCAAAGTCTGGCAAGTCTGTTATTAGCTCCAACACCATATGCAACCCCTCATCTGTCACAGTATAATGTCGTGGTGCTCGTTCTTCCACTGCCACATGTGTGTCAGCTGGGTTTGTTTAAGAATATGTGGACTTAAAAGTGAACTCAGCAATGTTCAGAAAAAGAAAGTTTTCTTAAACTACAGATGCAAAATTTTGGCCTTGAACTGTGAAGGTGATCTAGTCTCATTCTGTAGCTCAAGCCATCCTATCGGTGCCAAGACAGTAGACAGTTGTCTGATATGAAAAGCATGTCACGTATGACAATTATTACATGCACTGAAACTGGGTCCTAATTGTAGAAGAGCCTTCAAATTCCTCTGATGGAAGACCAGGAGTTCTTGTTACAGCACCAAGCTGGGGGCTGAACCCCTTATTTTATTCTCTTGCTTATTACGTTACCTCAGGAAAGTTTCTTTTTATCTCTGCACCCACTACCCTCTGTCCACCCTGTCCGTCACTCACACCAATTGCAAAGCCCTGTTTCAAGAATCTAGTCTTGGTTACGTCTCTAAGCTCTACTACAACACAAAGAATTAATAGGAGACAGCAAGAATATTTTAGAAATTCCAAATATGAATCCCAAAGTAGACACATGGGAAATGCCTATGCAAACATGGACATATTTTCTAACGACTTCCTCATCTCCAAATGCACCTTACCCCGCTGTGCAGCTCCAGCCCCCCAGCTACATAACTGACTTTATACAGCTCACCTCTAGGTGCTGTCCAGTGACTTGAAGGTGATGAAGGGAATAGGGGATTTATTAGTTCAGGTACCTAATTGTCCTAACGCAGGTACCGGTCTACGCATCCAGGTTTTATCCAGCCAACTTACAGCAAAGTGGAGCAGGTGGCACAGCTGCCTGCCTCCCTCCACTTAGACCTACCTTTTAGGTAGTCCTTTTCCAGGAGCCTGATGAGATCAGGAACCTGGCATTACAATTCCCTCATGCAGCTATTGCCATGCTGTTTGTAGCCAGTTTAGGGCTCGCTTATACTGCCAACACAACTTGGAACCAAGTGTTTAGTGCCTTCATTTGTAATTATTGAAAAGGAAGGCAGAGAGTTAGGAAATACAATTTAATTCAAATCACTCATGACCTCTAACCAAGATGACTTTAGGAACATACAACTTTCCTATACATATTCAAACCCCTTTTAATTGAACACCGTAAGTTTTCATTATCTGTATTGTATCTGTTAGAGTGGCTACATTTTGAAGAATTTACAGAGATATCTTATGAACTTCAGCTGAAGAAAAAAATACACAAAGTTTGACTTCACAAAGGCTATGGAGAAAAGTATGGAAAGAGTACAGCTACCCCAGGTTAAAGTACAGTGCTTCAGTACCAAACAAAATACATTTCAAGAGCAAACATTCCCCACCTGTGAAATACACTGGGAGTAGAACAGATGGCTTTCTATCCATATTCACTTTCTGGAAAGTCATTTGACTGCTTCTGTTGCTGAGCTTCCAGGCAAACAACTTTCCTTCTTAATTTCATTCCCTAGAGCCTGATTAGCTTTTTGCGA